AAAATTAGAATAATTATGTTCTATTTAAGTAAAAAGAATTAAGTGAGCATCAAAAGAGAAAAAAAAAATGTAGACAAAGAATCAGGGACCCTTAGAAAAAATATCACCTGAAGAGAAAAATCAACTAGTAAAGAACGGAATAACCTAATTAAATTTTGATGTGATTTACAAATCATGGTACATTTTGTATTTTAATGCTGAAACAAAAGAATTTTTGAATAGAATAACAAAGTTTTCCTTTATTCAAATAAAACTTGAATGAATTATAAAAATTAAATATTGTGTTCTCCCATCCAGACAGAATATCCAAAATTTCAAGTTTAGTTTCAAACAAGTTCCATTTGTCTACAATTTTTTAATAGAATAGAACAGCAAAAAATTACTTCTGAAATGGTTCATTATGCTCATCATATGCAATATGATTATGATACAAACATAATTACTTAATTAGCATTTATATATTTGTTTCTACACAAGAGTCATTAAAAAGGCTGAAACTCTGACTTTTGATTTCCCTTGCATTCTAGTTATGTGATGAAACTCTATTCTGGAAAACTGATAGATTTTATAATTTCTTTATTTTCTTTTTGAAATTTTGCTTTCTTTCTTCCACAGCCTGATACATTCTCTTCTAATCTATTTACAATACAAATTTCTGCTTGTACTTAAAACTGCATGATTATATAATCCCTTTAGCATTTGAAAGTATTACTTTTCATTTATTCATGTAATCACATACATGTAATTCTATGACAAACAGACTTCTTTGTATTTTCCACTACTATACTAAACCTCATAAATAAAAATACGAAATCTAGAGATGGAACAGTGTTTTATTTTCTCATGAGATAATATGAATTGTCACTTCAGTATACAGTTGTGGTAAGTTACCATGATAAACAGGCAAGTAGACATGTTTATTTTTCAAGAAAGCCCTGCAATTGTCCCAGTTAAGAAATGGAATGCCACTACAGTACAAAATCCATAAACCGCACTCGTCGGGTCTTCAGCGATTCCGGATTAGGGTTTTTTCCGGATTATAGATCATCAATTTAAATCTGGTCAGATGACATGCAGAAATTATACAATTAAAAATATGAAACCATAATTTATGAAATAAAGAGCAATTATGATCTAAAGGGTATCAAAATTTACAAAAAAAAAGACAAAAAAAAGCTTAATATTTGTTTACTTTATTAAACATTTCTTTCAATTTACAGTTGTTGTAAGTTGCTTCATTTTTGTGCTAATACTTTCTCTTTAATTCTATAAACAGACATAATTTCTTGTTCAGTTACAAAGTTCCACTGTTCAAGTCCTGTAATTGCTGTGTCGAGAATACCGACTAACATGTCAATCGAAATTTTTTCGTTTTCAATAATACCTCTGTCAGTTTCTTCACCATCGGAAGCGGTATTTTCTGGATCTAGAAACACACTACAGATTTTGCCACCCGTTAATTGATTGATAATTGGGGCATTGTCGTCAGAATGGAAAACTTCCGTCATTTATTACCGCTTCTCCACATTTCTTTACAAAATCCAATAACTGGAAAATTTCACCTTTAGTTTGCGATGTCCGAAAACCTTCAAATTTGCGGCTATCATCTTCATCATCCTCACCATGAAATATGGTAGTTGGCCATAAATCATGACAGGCATTTTTTAACGTATCTGGAGACACATCTTCCCAATGTGCATGTGCATGCGTAAAGAATACAAAAAAAAGTTTGAGGTCTGGATTATAGATCATTCTGGATAATTGACGTCCCGATTACGGACTTTGTACTGTACTACACATACAATGCATCTTAAAGTGTCCTTGTCTTAAAATTCATCTTAGTGAATGAAAGTGCTGGTTTTCCTTAAACTAATTTTAAAGATGACCATAATAAAAGCAAATATCCATATGCTAAAACAACTATTTCAGTATGTACAAGATTCAGCTCCATGCTAGAAATTGCATAACACCTCTCAAAGATATGATTAAATCTGAAAAACAGCATGAGGTACACCTGTGAAAGATACGTTGTCATGAAATGCAATTAGCAAGTTATCAAACAGTTTTAGAAAATCTGACAGAATCAAACTGCTATGTGATTTTACTACTTCAACCTGCATACAAACATAAATCTACCATCAGGAATCTGAAAACCAGTGATAGCCCATTTTCGTTAAATAAACTTTTTGCAATGCTCAGTTTTCAAAGGTTAGGTTAGGTTATTCAATTACGATTAAGCCTTGAGTGCTATCTGCCTAAAAGGAGGGATGCCTTCGTAGAGGACTTTCTAACGGAAACTGGCACGTATACACGTTACACATGGGAAAAACCACGAAACACCCATGCAGCCAGCCCGTTCGTGGGATTCGAACCTCGGACAGAACTACCAGTGTTCAGCGAATTTACCACTCGGCCACTGGTGGGCCTCAGTTTTCAAAGGCAAATATATGTTTTGTAACATAAGTAATGTCATCAGAATGCATTCAAAAACTGTATGCTAAGGAAACTACAATCCAGGAAATAATTTTGAAATATTCATACACAGCATGGATAATGATAGCTGAAATTTGTAAATGAACAAACTCAGAAAAACCCTAAAATCCTTTCAAAACCTAAAAAATGAATAAACTCAGAAAAACAGTAGCTTCAGAGTTTCTAAATTATTAAAAAAATTCTGCAGTACATAACGAGAATTTTTGTCATTTTTGTAAGGAAGATTCAGGGCACTTATTGAAGGAGATTTCAGAAAATAGAAACTTATTTATGGAGTATTATTTCATATTTCTTATGAGTAGATCTTTTCTGTAAATATACCTCCATTTAAATTAGGGTGTTACTAATATTCATCATACATCTTCCATTTTCATCTATGGACCATTGACCTAAGAATTTAACCTTTTGCACTTGGTTCTGCGACATCAACAGGTTAACATACCTTTCATATTCCCTTTGAGGAGACACTAAATCTAGCTTACCTCTCATATGTTCCATCTGAGAGGACATTGTAAGTCTAATATACATTCAGATGTTCCCTTTCAAAAGGCATCAGAGTTTACTTGAGCACAACTTCTTCAGAAATACATTTCCTTTACCTTTTCTGTTCAAATGCCATAAAAAATCAAACCAAAATATCATTTTATATCAAACTACGTAAAAAAATATTCACCAGTGTTACAGCAGAAGAGAATGAAGTGAAGTTCATTCTCAGTACGGTCTGAATTCAGTTCGAAGAGATAAGGAGAGTTTGTATACATAAGGCCAATTTGTTTATACTCTCTGCAAGGGATTATACAGTTCCAAAAGGAATAATAAGCAAGTCAAAGAGTGTAACTTACAAGAAATAGGCATCCAGAGCTGAACACATTTCATGTTAAGCTGAACACAGTATGTAATGATACATCCAGAGCTGAACACAGTGTGTAATGATACAAATTAAGACCTGCCCTAAGTTTTACATCGTTTGGTGAATTTTATTCCATAATTTCGTAATACAGTCAAAAGTCGTTAATTCGGACACCCATAATTCGGAATGATCTATAATTCGGACCTCAAAACTAAAAACTTTCTGCGCATGCGCCGTGTTGACACATGCACATAGGCGTTTACGCGTGCGCATATGACCTTTTACGACTGCGCATATGAGTGTGCGCAAGTGCAGAATACGTTTTCACGTGTGCGTTTTATGTATAATGGACGTATAAGCTAAATAATTATCTATTTCAGTTAATGTTGATGATTGCGTTGTTCCTTAATGTTCGAAATGGATCCGGCTTATTATTTTTTGCAGACTGTAAGAGCAATTTTATAAAAGTAAGTTTAAACTTTCGATTATATCAAATAGAATTTCCGATATATATTTGTTAATATGTAAAGGATCTAAAGCGAAAGTATGTTTTGAAATCCGAAATCTGTTTATCAATTTCACGCTGCTCGGCGGGGGGAACGCCGCGGCGGGCGCGTAATGAATTGGAAGTTGATCTGTCAGCACTATCCTTATCTTCAGGGCAGATGTTTTTATTTTATTTGGCTTATAATTCCTTATCAAATGTAGTATTTCATCTCGATGTGCTCCGTCTTTGATATGATTTAAAACAAGTTCCTCGTCATTATAATTCGCTTCCGATAGCGAAGAAAGTGACAGAGGTTATTGAAAACGAAAAAATTTCGATTGACAAATTAGTCAGTATTCTCGACACAGCAATTATAGGACTTGAACAGCGGAACTTTGTAACTGAACAAGAAATTATGTCTGTTTAATAGAATTAAAGAGAAAGTATTATCACATGAAACGAAGCAAAACTTAAACAACTTACATTGAAAGAAATGTTTAATAAAGTAAACAAATAAATATTAAGCTTTTTCTTTTTGCAAATTTTGATACCCTTTAGATCATAATTGTTCTTTATTTCATAAATTACGGTTCATACTTTTAATTTTAGAATTTCTGCATGCCATCTTACGAGATTTAAACCGATGATCTATAATCCGGAATCGCCAAAGTCCCGACGAGTCCGGATTAACGACTTTTGACTGTATGCAATACGCATGTTCGTAAGCAAGTGCCACTGAGTTGCTAGTAAGTCAGCCACAAGAAAGTTCCAGTTTAAATATTTGAAATAAAAACAAAAATCTATTTTTTCATAATTACACATACATATTCCCCTTTACATAATCTGAATGAAAGTATAATATGCAAAGCAGAAATTTAAAGTTAAAACAATATGCATTAAAAAGTAACTCAGTGAAGAATTTTCAGCTATGATTGCTCAAAAATATTAGAAAACACTTTCCATGGAATACTGATACATCCTCACCATAGAGACATGGTCCGATTATATGCACTTTCTTCAAAACACTGGTGTATCAATATAAAAGGGTGCATAAACTAGTTCAGAGAATAGTATTTTTAATTTCATGCATGCCAAATGAAAAATAACATCTTACAAAATTGACAACTCATGATAACAGAAATGATTATGATTAAAATGCATAATACTTACTTTTACTAAATTATTTAATCCTAGAGCTGTAACAAGAGCACCAGAAGTGGCAAGAACATAGGAAGTCCCAAGCTGTCTATGAAGATGATTTACATATCAAAATATATTCATGGCTATATAACTAAAACTAATATTAGAATTCTCATATTAAATCACAATTCGGTGCAATAACAATAAACTACAAATTCCATATTATGAATTTCATTTTCATTTATGAACTGCATATGCAGATGCTTTCATGAGATATGGCAGTTTAAAAGAAGATGAATAATGGTAAATCATACTGAAACTACTATAAAGGGTGTTTAAATGAAAAGGTATGAAATGACACTATGAGTGTATTTGAAGTTTTTATTCACAAGTTATCACCATAAGCATGAGTACAACTATCCCACTGTTTCATGAGTTGAACGATTCCCTGTTCCCCAAATTCCTGTGGCTGTGACAGGAGCCAGACTTCCACCGCATCCTTCCGTTCGCCATCCAGGTTTAAGTGCTTCCCTCCGAGGTGTGTTTTAGCGGACTAAACACATGGAAATTGCAGGGCAACTTGTCGGAAACTGCTTCCACTTGAATTTAGCCATTATACTTTGTGTAACCTCAGAGATGTGTGAATGCATATTATCATAGAGCAGAATCATTCCCACCGTGAACAGGACCGGCCATTTGATCTAATGGACTTGTGTAGGTTACAGACTGTCTCGCAGTCATATTATTGTTAATGGTTTTTTTTTTTTTTTTTTTTTTTTTTTTTTTCCCCCATGCTCGAGGAATTCAATAAGTATAAGTTCTTAGACATAAAAAAAGACAGTGAGCATTGCCTTACATGCTAAGGGCACAGCTTTGAGTTTTTACGCGGAGGTAAAGACGTATGCTTCCATTGCATGCTGTCCCATTTTGTCTCTGGCTCAAACTGATGACACCAGCTATTATTCACCAGCAATCATCCTCTCCAAGAAAGCGGGATCTTCATATCGGAATAGGTGTTACTGTGCATCACACACACAGTTGTTTTTATGGTTCACTGAGCTTCTTCAGAACCCACTGCGCAGACGCCTTCTCGTAACTCAAATTGTCATGCACATTTGTCCACATTGATCCAACAGCCACCATCACTGCCAACATTCGTATTGTGACATCGCAATCATTTCTCACAAGGTCATTTACCTTGTCGATGAGTTCGGCCATGATTACCATATTTGCCTTGTCTGGTGTTGGGTCATCACTCAAACACTCGCAGCCTTCACGAAAATGGGCACTCCCACTTTCTCACTGACTTGTTGAACACAGTCTCCTTGATATATGGTGCCAATGAATATTGATTGGTTTAAACTCTTCCACTGTCAGAAATCTGATAACATCTTGCTGCTTCCCAATCGTCGAATTCTGAAATGTGCTCTGCACATGCACACAACCACAGCGGACACTACATTCACATCCCTAGATATCCCACCATGTTATCCCAAAGCGGCATATTCAAATTTCAACCAGTTTGGTTGTTACGACATTTTGTACCTTTTGGTTTGAACACCCCTTGTACAATGTGCTATTAAAGCAAAAACTAGATTCTTAATCCACTGATGATTCTATACACTCTCCTCTATAAACAGATACCTGAAGTAAAAGATTTATGGTAAATTTTTATCATGTAAATCACATTATAGATGAATTCACCTTTCAATGTGAATTTACAGTGTCTTTTAAAATTTCCTTCAGAAACATAAGACTGGCTTTCCTGTTTGATCATTCCAGTCATGTTTCACCATTTTATATACTTAAAACTTGCTCTTGCAATTGCACATAAAAAGATAGTTAACTCCTGAAGCCATATTCTCAAGGATCACATCTTGAAATACACTGAAAGCTGAAAATGGTCCGTTGAAAACAACTAAAAGGTATAATAATGCACAGATAAAACATATTTTCCAAATACTACTTTAAAACTACATAACTCCTTTCCACTTACTATGACTAATCACAAGCAGAAAATTAGCAGCTGTACTCAATCTAGAATTATTATTCCATAGAAGACCTAAGAATTTTAAAAGTAATGTAATACCAACTTAAGCAACTACTTATGTCTGCTATCATACTGCTCACATAGACACAAACTCTGTAGCAATCACACAGGTATCTATTGTATACTAAACCATTCACTTTCATCACAAATTATCAGCTTCAAATAAGAGAAAAACAGTATATAAATAAATATATTTTTTAAATTTTGCTGCATGTATTTTTATTTACCTGTGGTCAATTGCTATGTGTATAAAAGAGTTGAGAGGTTTGTTACCTTTATTAGATTCTATTTTACTACAATAAGTACATGTAACCCTCCTATAACATGGTAGATGGGTTCCTAAAAATGCTGTGCTGTGTGAAATCGTGTTGCACGAGACTTAGAGCCAGTAAAAAAGGAGGGTTATATTACGAAAACTTTTTAAAAACAATTTTTTTAATTCTACATAAGCAACTTAATTTTTATTAAAAATATAGATGTATGTACAACTAAAAAAATACTATTTTCATTTAATAAATTTCTTCATTGTCACTGCTCAGTATAATCAACTGAGAATGTTTTTCAAGTGGAGTAGTATTGCCTTCACTTTCAAGTCATTTTAAATTTCTAAGTATAAAAGTAGGCAGTTTTGCAGCCTCTTTTTGAATTTTCGGCTCCTTTCAGCAGAAGGGTCTGGATTCAAAAAAACTGACTCAAGATTTTCAGCTAAGATTAAGTCATTTTTTAATTTTTGTAATGTTAAATTATTAACTTCACAATCTTCATCAGTGCTAGTGTCCTTAGAATCAATTTGATTTACAGCTTTGGATGCAATTTCCATCAAATTCAATTCGTCAACTTCTTCCACTAATAAATCTTGAGTGTCCTCAATAGTCACATCCCCAAAACTTTCACCTCTGACTGATTTAGCAAGCTCTAATGTGCCACCAATTTCATTTTCTGACACTTCAAACACATCTTCTATTTCAACTGAAGAGGGCCATATTTTCTTCCAACATGCATTTGGAAACTAATTTCGAAATAATTGCATTAATAACTGAAAAGATCAGTTCTTTTAGTGACAGAGGTAAGATGTTAACACAGTGCTTGATTGAAAATTTCTTCCCAGCTTCCATTACATTGATTGATTCTGAATGGGTTACGTCTAAAATCCACTATAATGCTCTCCTTATATAACATGTTTTAAAGGTATAAATAATACCTTGATACAATGGTTGGAACTACAAAATAGTGTTAGGCGGTAGGAACAGTATTTTGACATTAAGATTCAAATATTGTGGAGCATTATATAATAGTATTAGAACCTTGAAGTTCACATTTTTCTGCCTTAACCCTTTGACGTGCGCTATATTATTTTTATAATTTTTAACTAAAAAATTCTAGAAAATGAATATTATGATCCTAGAGACAAATAATATATGAATTTAAAAAATTGTGCTCTTGCAAACTGATCTGCAAGTGGTGGTCGCACTGTGAAACCAGCGTGCATCTAGGACTTTGAAATTTACTGAGGTAGTAGGAGAAAAACTTACCTTTTTCTGTATGCATTTTCAATAAATAACCAAATTTGCGAATTTAAAAAAAAGTATGAAAGAATTTTATATGTAAATTTTTTACAAAGTAAATCATCAGAAAAAAATATAAACTAAACATTTATGTAATTTTTCTATAGCAGTGAAAACATAAGAACCTATGTAATAAGGAAAGGACATTTGGATTTATGGATAAAAAAACTCAGTAACGCCAAAGGACTTTTTTTTTTTTTTTTTTTTTGTGATACTGTTCAAAGCATGTTTTGCCTTTTTGGTACATGCATAGATCCACATTGCACCTTTCACACATGTATCTTTTTATCTTGTTCTATGAGGTTTCTCCCTTGTACTACAAAATGTACACTGCCTGGATTTGCATTTTACTGGTACATATCCAATGTTATTTAGTCTCTTTTCATTCGGAACATGAAATTTGTGGTTTTTTATGTTAATGAGGGGATGCTTGGTCTTTTTGGCTTTGGTACGGATCTGTAGTTTCCCATTTATATTTATTTTATTTTTATTTCATCCCAAAATATTTTAAATTTAAATAAAACTTTTAGAGATTTCTATTTTTATATATAGCAAAGTATAATTAAACCACACAAAATAATTTATAAAAATCACAACATTAGCATAGGAAGCAAGCGTGGTGAGGTCAGAGAAAAATATCTGAAAAAGAAAGACCTTGTCACTCAGCAGGTACATGTATTGTTTAGTAATAAAATAATTGTGTAGTTTCAACGCCCCTTATCTATATTCGGGCAAAAATAAACATTCCTATTTGAATAGCAGTAAACACCATTATGAAGAGCAGTGGTTTCAAGGCACGACCATTGAGCCTCTAGAGCAATGGTGCGCAAACTAGGGGTCGCCAGAAGTTTTTTTGGGGGTCGCCAAATTTTTATGAAATGCATTATGCCTGCATGCTGCATACCATACAGTGTACATATAAAGAGTGAACTCACTGTTTAATTGCAATTTCATGCTGTCCGCTCTTTCTTTAGACGCAAGTTTTTCACTCCGGTAGATAGCACCCTCTTCGCGATAATTTGCCAGTTTTACAGTAAAGCGCCTATTTGACTAGATGTTAACCGCAGGAAAGGGGAAAAAATTCGCTTCCGTGATCAGCCAATCAGATGGCGAGGTACGCAGTGTATCTGATAGTCAGAGTGGACGTGAAGTTCGCATGAAGTTGTAGCATGTAGCTGTTGCCTGCAATTTTTTAGTTTATCCTCAAGTTATATCGTGTGACGTTGTGTAATTATGATTTTTTATATTTTTATCGGGCTTTGCTACTCTTTGTTTCAGGTATTACTACTATCAGTAGAGAAAGATCTCTGTTAATTTTATTGAATTTCCCCAAAAAAATGATAAAATTTTATATTATTTTTTATGTGTCATTTGCAACGAAAAATTAGCAAATGAGAGCATGAAACCAGCTAAATTAAAAGGCACCTGGAAATTAAACATAAAGACTTCAAAATAAACATGCGATTTTTTTTTCAAAGACACTGAAAATCT